CAATGAAGGCATCTCAAATGGTACGGACATGTCCAATGAATGAAAGACAGTAGACTCCCGAAACAAGTACCTCTATGAACAACTACAGGAATCCAGAAGAGAGGACTACCGTAGAAAACACGGATGGAAGGAATAAAAAACTCAATGAGCTCGAAAGTACTTAAAGAACAATGGAATAACCGAATTCAATAAAAAATGGACGTCGGAAGACGTTTTATACGGATTATATCATATTACGAGTATAGGTACATTGTTATTATATCATATTATATATATATATATATATATATATATATATATATATATTTATATAATATATTATATACACGATATTGAAGGAGGTTACAACATAGACAATCAACAAAATCTACATTGTCAACTACATAGTGAAGACCCAACAATATAGAAGTGTCAAATGCCGCCTTAAAACAAAAAGCCAATAAAGCCACAGGAATCGATTAAATATGTTGCGAAATGTATGAAAAGGTGGTGATCAACTTTTTGCAGTAATCCATAAACTAATAGTACTTATATGGCAGAATGAATTGGTACCAGAAGAGTGGCTAAATGAAACAATATGCGTTGCATAAAGGGCTATCAGCTGGATTGTAAGAACTATAGAGGCATTATTCTGTTAGCATCTGCGTATAAAATCTTCGGCAATGTATTGTTTGAAAGACAAACATTTTACAAAGGATATTGTTGATTTACTGCTGCATAATCAACTATACATCAAATTCAAGCACATGGGCAGATTCTAGAAAATTCACTAGAATATAACATAGATACACGTTATGACAGCCTATGACAGTGTTAAGCAATGATAGACTTTGGTTGGGATCCCACCGAAGTTAGTTAAGTTGACCCAACTAACAATGTAAAACGTGAGTTCGTGCGTTAGAATTGAAGGAGAAAACTCCATGTGCTTTGACGTTAATGATGGTATAAGACAGGGGGAGGCGCTGGCTTGTCTCTTCTTTAATGTTGCCTTGGAAAAGGCAACCAGAAAATGAAATATTGTAATGAATGTAACTATTTTTAATAGAACCATAAGAGACATGGTGCAGTGTTTTACAAGGCTTGCGGACGCGGCAAGTGAATTAGGACTTGTGGTCCTAATTAGAAATGGTAAATGAGGAAAAACCAAATATAGGTTGGTTTTCCAACAGATAATTCAAATTAACAACCATACCTTTGAGCAAGTCAAAGAATTCACTTATCTTGGATCGCTAGTAAACGCAACAAACACGACAAGCAACGAAATAAAACGACGCATAGCAATAGCAAACAGAACTGTTCACGGTCTCCAGAAACATTTAAAAAATATAAAACGTGCAGTAAAGCTCGATATATACAAGAACTTAATAAGACCGATTTTGATATATGGGGCTAAAACGCGGATCTTATCTCAAAATGATGAAAGACTTCTTGGTATTTTTGAGAGAAAAATTCTTAGAAATATTTTTGAGGTCGTAAATGAAAATGGAGTATGGCGTCCCAGAGACTTAGATGGGCTGGACACATTACTAGGATGTCAGATCACAAATACATGAAGAGATTAACATTTTCAAAACCAGAGGGCAGAAGAAGTTAAAAATGACCACGAAGAAGATGGATTGATAATGTGTCAGAAGCGGATTGTAAGGGTCAGAAGATGAAGGGAAGTTGCCAGGAATCAACAGGAGTGGCGATTTCTGTGCGAGCAGGCCAAGACGGATTGTCGAGGCATTTATGATGATGGTTGATGATGATATATACATGGTTAAATACCGAAACCTCGTAAGTCAAAATCTACAACTTTTCAGTAGAGCGAAAAAACGTCACTGCTTAGTACACGTGTTTTCTTTTTCTACTTTCTTTTCTGATGTAATAATTCAATAAATGTATTTCTGTTGTAATAATTAAGTAAGTATTGAGAAAAAAAATATGTACCAAGCAGCGAAGTTTTTTCGCTCTCCTGAAAAGTTGTAGATTTTGACTTTTGACATTTCGGTATTTAACACTCGATATATTGAAAATCAACTTCATATATTGAAAAGTTTATTTCCTCTTTTAAGAAATTCTACAATGCAAAAGAAGATTGAATGCAGAGAAGAAAATATTAAAAGTAGAAAAAAATTTAAATGAGTAGGTATAATAAAAAATAATGAAAGGCTTACCAACATTTAAATTATAAAAAAATGTTAGTTAATTTACATAAAATTAAAAATAGTAAACGGCTGTTGTACATCTTGAATAACATAAAACAACAATAACAGTTCTTCACAAAACAACATTTAACAAAAATTTAAAAGATTAGTTAATTTTGAAGTAATGATCTACATGAAAACACTTTGATTATTAAAATTTTTTAAATCATAAATACATGGCTGACACAGACTAATATATTATGATTATAGCGTATATACCTAGGTGTGTATAAAAGTTGAGAGAATCTATGACAACAAAAAATAAGTAAGCTTTTTTCTTCCAAAAAGCAAACTAGTTTGAAAATTAGTTTGAAATATTAGTTCAAAATATTTTCTGTTCAAAACTTTTGTTTCTGCAAACTTAAACAGTGTGGGAGATTGGAAAAATCTTTTGAACTAAAACACCAAGATACAGAACCCAAAAGATTCTGTATCTTAGTACTTCTAAACTAGAACAAATACTGGTGCTACTGTAAATTATACGGAGAACATAAAGAACACGTATGTTATAACAATTGGACAAAAGCTTCGACTGCAATAAAAAGTCAAATAATTCTAGACGGTTTTAAATGGCACATGCACGCCATGACTTACAAATTGTTAATAGCCGATGGAGATAGTACTGTTCATCAAAAAATGTTAGAAAATAGACCATATTATGGAAATAATTTTGTTGAGAAAACTGAATGTCGTAACCATCTCATAAGAAACTATTGTACAAGATTAAAAAAAATATCTTCTTCTTCTGATGCACTCCATTACTAGAAGTTAGCAATCACTGCATCAAAATCTTCTCTATTCTGCGCCAATTCGTACCAATTTTCTTACGAAAACTTTTAAAAATTAACATATTAAGATTAAGAACTGCTATTACAAGAGCAACTGAATATCATGGACAGTCAGATAAACCAAGATATGATATATCTAATAGCCATCTTTATGTATTTGTAAACTATTCGAATTGCACAGATTATTTTTGTCACAGAAAATCATCAGAAACAGATTATACAATACCAATGAAAGAATGCAGCCTGTTGAAAGATATTAGCTCATATGCAGCAAAAGTAAAATTTCATGCAAATAGTCTTATAAATAATATGAGTACTAATTATGCTGAACAGCACATAATAATGTAATATCAAATTTCTAGGAGGTAAAAGAATAAATTATATCTCTCGGGGTCTTATGAAATGAGATACTATGCTGATACTTTCTCGTACAACTCTAAAGGTCATTATCACCAAACCCTAATAAAAGTATCACAGGAAAAAGTCCTGATGTAGTATATGTATACAAAAAAAATATTTCGAAATGCACCAAAAACACATTGCGAAGAAAATTATATTAAAAAAAAAAACAAATATAAAAGTACAAAAAACGTTAGAAATTTTTTTTTATTGAGTTAATGCCTCGACAACTATCACAATGATCAAAATCCATTGAGTAGAACCGGAGATATAGAAAATTTTATTAGTTTGAAATTGTTTGTTCGGTATGGATTTGTACTCCATGAATTTATAGGTTCTTCCTAATCACCATTTGAACTACATTTTTAAAATTCGTAGAAGGTCCTGTAAAGGTACAACATTTGTGCAAATTTTTTATCAAAAAATACAAATCCCATTCTTTATCATGGCGTCAAAGAGGTTCCTTAATTATTATAATCAAATTAGCTGTGAATTAACAAAAAAACATGGCTAACTTTGGCCCAAATTAACCTAGGTCAAATTTTTTTGTTTGAAAATTCGGGGAAAATACTAGCTTTTTGAATGTAAAAAAAGATTTCTTCTAAGGACAATGTTTTTAAAGTTCTAAATGTTTATAAACTAGATAATTTCAAAAATTTGGCATCAGGATTTTTGATTATGATAAATCATTTTTTTATCATTTTTTAATACATATTGATAGTATCTTTTGCTTTCATTTGTCGCCCACAGCATTACCCTATCTTTATTATTTTCTGTCTAATTTTATTGTAAAAAAAGACCTCTGGGATAAACAAATACAATAACTTTTAAACTAATTAATATATCGGTTCCAAATTTTGAGGGTTTGTTAAGTATCCCAATACCCAACCTTCGCTGGAACTCTAAAGTAAAGTTGTTGTATTCAAAGTTTTTAACAAATATCAATTGTCACTTATTTTGCAGTTTGCAAAGCAACAAATTGACTTTTCAACTTACAAAAATCAGCATTTTGAAGCTTTGTCAATATTCTAAAAAATAAAATTTTGTAATTTTATGTCAAGTATTTAGCTTTCTAATGGAGTGGAAAAAATCGCGTTTCTTGCATTACATTAAATCATTAAAAAACGGCTCCGAACTTTAGGCAGGAAACAGGTAGGTTTTGTTCTTATATGTCTACAATAACTAAAATAGTTGTCAGCTACCTGGATTATTGATTATCACGAGAAAATCCTTATTACTCTGGACTAATATGACTGGACAAGCAAGTGACGAAACAAACTTCATATATTATGTAAACTTTACTAACAAAAACGTTCAAAATAAATAGTCCAATAAATATAATTAATCAAATTCCATATTCAAATACTGCAAAATATTTGGGTATTACTCTGAGTTCATGTAAAGAAGAAAAGAAAATAATAATTCTGATTGAAATACAAAAAAATGTACTGACCGATTGACCAAAATTCTACTCTGTTTCTACATAATAAATTATAATTATATAAATAAATACTGAAACAATAGTATTATTATAAAAACAGTATAAACATTTAGAAGGAAATGTCACAAACAACAGAAAATATTTCTATTCATATAAAAATTTAATCAAATTATAGGTACTTACTGCTTATTTATATAAAATTTCCTCAATCGTCGTCGACTTTTTCGTCCGGAACATAAACGTCTTCGCGAACTACCCATTTTAAAAACAACAAAACACACTGGTTTGTCAAAACTAGTCAAAAGTCTTCTTCTTCTTCTCTTCTTTCTTGGCGCTGCACATAGGCAATTTGCCAGCTCGATACGTGGGAATTCCAGATAATCGAGTATCCTGTACTCCTGGAATTCCGATAGCTAAACTAAAACACAAAACAACCGACACAAACTATAGCTGCGGGTGTGATACTTTACACCTGCAGGTCTAATATTTTTCCATTTGGAAAGAAAGGATTTTTTAGGTTAGGTTTAGAAAACAATGCCGTGTAAAACGTCATTGGTTGAAGGGTGAACAGCACTGACCGGTGAACCAAAATCATGGAGCAAAAAGATAAAAGAGGGAATCTAATCGTTATGAAAAGGAGACCAAAAAAGTGGCCTCTGATGGCGGGCATATCCGGAAATGCAAAGGCGCTAAATTTAAATTTTCCAACACTTGTTAACAATAACTGTAAAATATTTTTCAGACAAGAAAGTTTTAATTAAATATTAACGATAATAGTCTAAAAAGTGACACAATTGGTGAAAAACTTTAATAAAAATAAAATTTCATGTGACAGTTGGGACAAACAATAACATAACCATCGAGCAATAAGACAAAAGAGGGAATCTAATCGTTATAAAAAGGAGACCAAAAAAGTGGCCTCTGATGGCTGACACATCCGGAAATGCAAAGGCGCCAAATTTAAATTTTTCGACACTTATCAACAGTAGCTATATAATATTTTTCAAAATGTGTCTTAGACGAGAAAGTTTTAATTAATTATTAATGATAAGAGACTAAAATGCGACACAATTGTTAAAAAACTTCAATATAAATAAGATTTCATGTGACATTTGGGACAAACAATAACATAACCCAACTAAATTTGATGTCAAACAAGGAGAGAGACTCTCTATCCTTGTCTAAAGTGGCCTCTCAAGATGGCACTTCCTGTCTATCAATATGTTTACCCCTTCTACCTTTACATTCCCTCTTTTGTCTTATTGCTCGATGAACATAACCCACGGTTCGTAGACTTACTCGGTTGCCTCTTCCGACTGGGGTGGGGATGCTTGAGTTACGTCACAGGAGTACACAAGAATACAAAACCTATTGCGATGAAACTGAATGTAGAGGGCAGGTCGATTGCAGTGTCATGGCCGATATAAATGGTATAAACAAAAACAAACATAACATTCGAATATTTACCATTGCTTTTCCATGTTTAGTTTGGTTTAAGACGAGTTATTTGTATCATTTAATAATGGAAATTAACCTTAATGATATCTTTGAGTATTGTGGTGAAGCAAAGAGTCCATTGGTTGAAGGGGAAGCAGTTTTCAAGTGATGAATTCCTAAATTTTAACTTTAATGTTTGGAACTGGCTTGTGTATTGATGATGAATCCTATTTTGTGTATACCTGGGAACCCAGAATATAATATTCTGTGTAATGTTTGCCTTAACGTATATATGCATTATTATATCTTATGTTTTTAATATGTTAATTTTTATTTTATACTATTTTTTGACATATGTAAGTACTTTATTGTATATTAACATAAATAAATAACTTTAACTTGGCTTTATTGTAAAATAGTTCATTTGATTACATGAAATTAACCTTAACTTGAGATCACCTCTCAGAAAATATAGCACATGATTTGTCTTTAAAAAATTGCATAATAAATTATTTTTTTATATAATAATTGCATAATAAATTAGTTTTTCAGTTTATTCTAGATTGGATTTAAAATACTTTAACGTAGTCATAATGCTGAAATTTACTAAAAATAATTAATAATTATATTCAAATCAACAGCTGTCTGGTTTGTTTATACCACTTTTATGCCTGGTATTGCGGTATTATAAAACATTTTACTTGCCAAGTAAAATTTAGTTTGAAAGTAAAATAATTTACTCTGCAGATTTGCGTATTTTAAACACATAGTAAATTAATTCTGGAAGTAAATCTGCAAACTAAACTATTCCTTAGTTTTCTACCAAGTAAATTTTATTTAACAAGTAAATATGACAGTTTCAATGTCTTTTCGGCTGGTGTGAAAATATTTAGATTTAATAATATTTTGAAATGTCTTCAGTATCATCAGTGTCAGATGTTAATTCTCCAACTGTATCTAGTGTTGATAGTGACTGGTATTTTTCAATAAATATACAGATGGATTGTGATGCAAATTTAAATGTAATCAATGTAGTTGCTAGATGGCCTGGTTACTCCCACAATAGTCATGTATTTGATAATTCTCTGATAAGAGCTCAGTTTGAAAACAATGAGTTTTGTGAAACATATTTACTGGGTGATAGTGGTTATCCATGCCGAAAATATATTTTAACTCCCTTACATGATCCACAAACGCCAGCTGAAAGGAAATACAATTATACACATATCCACACACAGAATACAATTGAAAGAATGTTTGGTGTCTTAAAGAGAAGGTTTCCTTGTTTGTCTACGGGACCAATGGAATAGAAGCACCACTAAATTGATAGAAATAAAATCTTCCGTCCTTCCATGATACTTCAGGCCTTCAAAGCGACAACATCAAATCCCAATAAGAAGTCTCAGATTAGGACACACCTCTACAACACATGAAGACTTGTTGAAGAGAGAAAAGTGTGTTATGTTTGTGAATATAAAGTGACAATGAAGCACATACAGTTGAAAGACTATATCACCTCATTCCAAAATGTAAAGAGTGTCTAGTCAGTGTAAATAGAGCTATTCCAATTATAGTGGCAATTTGTGTATTGCATAATATATGTAGAAGGAGGAATGATGTGCTGACTGATAGTGAAGATGGCAGTAATCACGCGGAGTCAGAAGATAAAAATTTAAACAAGGTCACTAGAAATCAAGATAATTTTGCTGTAAGAAATGCTGTCATTCGTACTGCATTTATTAATTAAATAAAATGTTTATTTTAAAATTATTTACGGTTCAATAAAACATAATATAAGAATTATGAGTGTTTTAATTATTGTATATGTATTTTTAATTTAACAAAAAAAGTGTTGACAATTCAAATAGTCACAGAAATAAAATTAACTTAATTGTGTCAACTTTTTCTTATTAAACTCTGGTAATAAATCTATGAAACAAACTAAATATAACACCAGTAACTTAATGAATATGATATTTATGATACTATAATGAACATGTATTTTTATTACAGAATTTTTCTACAATAAATACATACTTATAAGAAAGTGTTTATACCCACTTTTAACAGATAACTTTGTGAAAAATAGGCAAAATGTTACGGGATCTATTAGTATTTCATTTATTTATAATATTCTCAAGCGATACATTGTCATTTCAAGGAAGTCATGAAAATAAGATCATATCAGCAAGTAGATACATAATCCTTTCATTTTACGGTATTTGAAAAACAAAGTATGTACATATATTTCAGTTTCATTGTTCAGTTTTTTGTGTTTATTATTATTCTTGAGTAAAGTGTTTGATTTTAAGACGGCAAAATGGAATTTGTGTTGTAAAAATATTAGATGAAATAAGCATTCCTTAACTTTTCCAGAGGACACAGCAAGGTTTGTAAATTATTATTTCCTCTTAAATATTGTTTGGGTACCAGTATATGATGTCATTTATATGATACTTCTACAATAATAAGATAACCAATTTTTATTTTAATAACTAATTTACAATAATATAAAATTAACCAAACGGTATTAAATTTCTAAATTCTCGAACTCAACCCCATATTGATGTTTCAGTTGTAGAATCTTTTCTTTAACTGCCAACTCTTTTGTGTCTGTTTCTCTTTTCTCTGTTTCCGTTTCTGTTTTTCTAATTTTAAAACGTCTCTACTTAACTCTTCCTTTTCTTTTCTAATTTTAAGAATACTTAATTTTATTTTTTCCTTCTCTGAATCTTCTTCACACTTATTATTCTTTTTGTGATGTGGGACTTAAAGGCAAACTAAATGCACGACCAAATACTTACCATGTCGAGATAGCATTATGAGGTTTTTTCCTGGTTTTTCCCTCATAATTTACTATGGAATCACTAACAGGAGAATTTTACTGTCATCATGGCATGTGTTTGTCTTTTTAAAGATGAATTACATGCTATGATTTTTTTCTGACAGATATTCTCAAGTTAATGTTGATTTCATGTAATGGAATGAACTATCTTATAAGTAAAGTCGTTCCAAGAGCACAACTCAACAATATTGGCAATATCATTTTAAAGTCGTCTACTTTAAAATGCATAATGTATGTCTGAATTGTCAATATAAATGAGTCAGATAAAATTAAATTATTAGAAGAATTTTTCACTAAGTAACAAAAAAACAAAATTTGTTTTTAGTGTTTGTATTTTGAGAACAATTTCTGAAGTGGAAATTGAAATGTTAATAAACATATTTTAACCTTTAATTGGGGCTTATTCCCAGTTAAATAGTAATTAATTTAAAATGCCACAAGAAAATAGCTTCAGAACAACATTAATTACATATGTTTTACCTTTCTGTTACTGCTTGGCATTCTGCAGGGGTGACAAGAAATTTAACATATCTTGGCAACAGATGTTCTACCATCGCATCAGTTACTTCTGTCAATACTTTACTAAAAGTGGACCTTTCCATGGTAAAAAAAATAAAATATAGTATATAATAAAATAAAAAGTAAATAAAATATAACATATTGGAATATATTCACTCAATTCTTAATATAAACAACATATCTTGGTTTCATGTGCTAAAGCATTTGATCTTTGCACTTGTCTTAGATGGGGCTGGAGACTTTCGAACCAAATGCAAAGACAATTCCCTCGATAACTTAAATATCTTTTGAAATACGGCTTCCACTAATTCCACTGGATTTACCAAATCTCGCAAAAGTCTTCTCTGAATGTTTTCTTCATCCCTATCAATAAAATAATTTTGTTTACAAAACATAACCTAAATAAATAATATACTATCAAAGAATATAGACGCTTATAAGCGTCTATATTCTTTGATACTATAATTA